ATTTGTCTTATTCTACTTCTTATTATATTGTTTTAAATAGAAATTTAAAAAAGCTTATAAACATACATTTTTTAATTTGACAGATGAAAATGATGCCATTTCAAAGGTAAAAAGAAAATACCCCTGTAAGTCACTTTAAAGATGCTGTATGAAGGATTGACCTAGTGGTTGAACTAGGTATTGCAGTCCAAATTCAAAATATTGGAGAGGGTTTTTTTCACCCGACCCCTCCTCCTCAGAATTGATGCACACGCAGGTTGCCAGATTGACGACACCAACAGGAACGAGCGCACTTGACGATGAATGAAATTAAATAGGCTGTGTTTTCCGCCAACTGGCAACCCGGGGTGCCGAAATACAATTGGGTAAACTGGCAGTGGGTGGGTTTCACAAACCAAAACAGACGACATTCCGGCCCGGAACGCACATTTTCAAAGGAGAATAACTGACTGTAGCATTGTTTTCAGATAAACAAGTATGTTAACTTAGCATGTTTCTTAAGTATCTGCAAACATATTATGGTATTTTTATGCTTTAGTAAAGTCAAAAACTTACATACAGTACCTTTAAGGAGTCAAATGTCACTTCGTATAAGGAAGGATCATTTTTTATCAGAATTTTTTATTATTGATCATGCTCCTAAATGTTTTAAATTAGGAGGACAAGCGCTCCTAAAAAGAAAAGTAAGCGTAGAGTCCATATACTATAAAAACAGGTAGAGCCATGTGTAACAGTATATTAGATCCATGAATGAGGTCTTAAAGGGACAGCAGCCTATGTACAGTGAAGACTATCTATATGGATTGATGTTTCCTAGGATTTTTTTCCAGCTGTGGTGGCAGGACTATTTCTCATGGACCACGCCCCCTCCCCACCAAAGATATATACATCAAGCTTTCATTCCATTAATTCATCTATTCATCATCCATCCATCAATCTGTCAATATATTCATCCATTTGTCTTTCCACTATCTATCCATCCATTCATCCATACATCCAAATCTTTCATTCCATCAGTTCATCTATTCATTCATCTATCCATCACCATCCATCCAGTCATACATACTTCCCTCCCTCCATCCATCCATTTGTCCTTCCACTACTTCATCTATTCGTCCATCCATCCATCCTTCCAGTACTTTGTCTGTTTTTCATCCATACATCCATCCATTAATCTTTCATTACATAATTTAATCTATTCATTCATATATATATACATCATCTATCTGTCAATCTTTTCATCCATTATACATTCATTTGTCTTTCCACTATCTATCTATTCATCCATTCATCCATACATCCAAATCTTTCAGTCCATCAATTCATCTATTCATTCATCTTTCATCACCATCCATCCATTCATTTGTCCTTCCACTACTTAATCTATTCGTCCATCCATCCATCCATCCTTCCAGTACTTTGTCTGTTTTTCATCCATCCATCCATCCGTCTTTCATTCCATAATTTAATCTATTCATTTATATATACATCATCTATCTGTCAATCTTTTCATCCATTATACTTCCATTTGTCCTTCCACTACTTCATCTACTTGTCCATCCGTCCTTTTATTAATCTATCTAATAATGAATATCAATCAACAAAAATATAATGTAGATAAAGGCTTTACTGTGGCAGATGAAAGCACTAAATAGATATTACAAAAGTGTCTTTAGAACTCAATATATTGTTTGTTCTGTTGTTTGTTTTCACTACACCATCTCATAGAGAAAGAGTTGCTCCGACACCAGTACGCTCAGGACACGAAGATGGGCTTTGTGATCAATGCCATCTACTCTATGGCTTACGGCCTGCACGCCATGCAGAAGTCTCTGTGTCCCGGCTACGCAGGTCTGTGTGAAGCCATGCGGCCGATTGATGGAGGTAAACTCTTAGAATTCCTCATGAGGACAAACTTCACTGGCGTCTCGGGAGAAGTGGTGCTGTTTGATGAGAACGGAGACTCCCCGGGGAGGTAGGAATCGTTCATATTCTACTCCAAACACAAGTAAGAATGTGCTTCTAAACTCATTTCAAAGAGAATGAAAACAATGTCTTGTTGATGTCATTGTGATTTTCAAAAATACCTTCCTTCAGACTAAGTGGCTTTATGAGCAAAACATGAATGATGCTGGGTTAACCGTTTCATGTCCATAACAGTGCTTTTATGTGTGTTTTTCCAGGTATGAAATCATGAACTTTAAACAGATGAGTGAGGAGGACTATAGCTACATCCATGTGGGCAGCTGGGACAACAGTGGGCTGAAGATGGATGACGAGGAGATTTGGGCCAATAGCAGTGCCATCATCAGATCAGTGTGCAGTGATCCCTGTGAAAAAGCTCAGATAAAGGTGAAAATATGTCAGTGTATATGTGACCCTGGACCACAAAGCCAGTCTTAAGTCGCTATTTTCTTCACAGAACTCTATAACTTACATAACTTGACCTCTCTGTTCTGACCACCTCAGGTTATCCGTAAGGGTGAGGTGAGCTGCTGCTGGACCTGCACTCCGTGTAAAGAAAATGAGTTTGTGTTTGATGAATACACCTGTCGTATGTGCGAGCTTGGATCCTGGCCTACAGATGACCTCACAGGTGAATCTACATCCACCTTCAGAGCAAAATGTAGTTCTTCTTGTAGTTCATCCAGAAGTCAAAGCCATCGTTTGCCCATGATTCTAAACTTCTAAGACCAGCCACATGAGCTTATCATCCCCGTACAGCAGTGTGTGATATAAGTATCTGGGTCACAGAATACCATTTGAGATCCATTTATCTCTTAGAGCGTTATTTGAGAATCTGGACCATGGCAACTTAATGCCAAAAACAGAGATTTGAACTTGGCGGGGGTCCCCATCAGAATGTCTGTCAAGCGTAAGCCCTGAAGCAGCAGTCTCTCAGCATGTAGTACATTACTGAGAGCCGAGGCCGCTCTGCTGTTCATGCAAGAGCCTTAATGCCAATTTTCGACATTTAGTAGCAGGTGGTTTTGAGTTTGAGTACCTGCCGTTCTTTTTTAATTTAGTTGTTTTTGGATTTTATACTAGTGTTTACAGCATTTATTCACTGTACAAAGACAAAGACTCTATAACAGAGAAATTAAAATGTTAAAATTACTTTTAAAACATCCAATTACTTTTTTTTAAGCTCAACTCTAAAAAAAAAAATTTATTTTTCAGGCTAGTTCAGCAAATGTCCATATATGGTAATACTAATATTTAAGAGTAAACAGTAGCATTTCATAATAATCTCCAATACTTTACCATTAGTTAATGCATTAGATATCATGACGTAACAATGAGCTATTTTAGTAATTAATAAACACATTTATTGGTCTTGGTGAATGTTCATTTCTACATATGCTAAGATAGTTTAAACATTCTGAATTGTATAAATTAACATTAGTAAATGAATGAACGTGAATTAATAATAAACAATAGTGCATTCATAATTTAACATTAATGTTGTGTTAATCTTGGTTTCGAAAAAGGGGGTTTGATGAAAATGTAGTAGTTAATGAAATAATAAAATAATTAATTAAAAATAAAAAAACACTTTCTATCAATAAATAAATAAATGAAAATTGTTTA